TTCTAGTGTTATAATTAACCTATTCAGGTAGATATGCTGGAGAAGATGGAGGAAGGGCAAAAGGGAGATAGCACTCACAGAGCAATTCTAAGACAGAGCGACTATTTCTCAACTCAGAAAAGTAGGTGCCTTTCAATCATTTCAAAGTCCTACAAAAGGAAGGGCCACTGTACTGCTGGTATTTAGAATACTTTTTCATAAAATTAATAATATTGGGTAAGTAGCCAAGATTTCTGGAAATGAATTCCTGGTAATAATTACTACAAAGTTTCTTGTAAAGAAGGGTTCTCTAAGAGCAAAAGGAATGTTTCCCTCCAAAGCAGATTGGATTCAGTACTAGTCTTCAACAAGGCAGTGTTGTTTCATAGTCTTTAAACAGGAAAGGCCAGAACTAGACCCATTTCTGACATTACAGAATCATACCACACATAACCGAAGCACTGTGATGTCATCCACATAGCAGTTTGGAGGAATTTATTGCAAAACCTGGGAACTATAAGCCAATGTTATAGATAACCACAGTGCTGATGGATTGCCAGTAAAACTGTCAATGAGCAGATTCCACTGCTATGTCGTTTCCAGGGTCTCCTCTCAGCACGAGTAATAGTAACAGCAGTGACAGCAGTAACAGCGGGAGCAACAACAGGAATGGCAGTAACATTACTGTTAGCAGTGTAAGCAGCAGAATTTCAGTGCCTTTTTGTCAGGCCAGGGCCAAATTATTGTGAGGAAAGCATCATTACATAGCTTTCACTGATAAGGAAGCTAAGACTTGACAAGTTTAGGTAATTTACTCGAGGCTACCCAGCTGGTTAGATACAAAACCAGGATTTAAACCTATGGCTGTCTTATTTCAAGGCTGAACTCCCTTCACACAACTATATACCACAGTGTTGTGGATAAATAGATATTTTTCAGTGTGGAGAATTAAAAGTCATAGAAGAGATGCATAGTAGCCTCACCAAGCTTGTTGATGACAGCAAGCTTTTCTAGTAGTCTAAAACCCTATCTCGCACCTGAATTATTACAATTGTCTCTGAGCAGCTCCCTGATTTTGCCCTTGGTCCCTGGCCACTTATTTTCAATATAGCAGCTAGAGTGATTCTGTTAAGACTGTATTTAAGGATTTTTTTCATTAAGGTACCGTATTTGCCGGCGTATAAGACGACTGGGCATATAAGACGACCCCCTAACATTTCCACTCAAAATACAGTTTGTTATATACTCGCCGTATAAGACTACCCCCTCTTCCGCACACCTTCCACACACCAAAAAAAAGGTAAAACAATATCAGATTTGATTTGGCCCACTGAAGTGCAAACAAGCGTATTGTATTTCGTGTCACCACATAACCGTTTT